ATTAAGATATAGAATTAGGAATTTGGTTAAAGTAGCATAACACTATTTTAAGATATTCAAAGAGTACAAGGTTTTAATATTCAAAGATTTATTGTTTACAATAGCCATAGGGCCTAATTATATAAGCAAGGGAAGAGGGAGATAATTCATAATACATTGAATGTAACTCATGGAAGCTTCCTAGCAACAATCACGTCCAAAGCATGGGGTTGACTCAGTTAAATTGTGGTTGATTCAGTTAAAATGAATCGGTTAATTGGTCGGTTTGGTTAAATTAATCACCCCTAGTCAGGACGTCTTTAAATCACATGCATTGAAATCAGATCATACAAGACTATGATACACTAAAATTCAGATAAGCCAAACCTATAATAAAATTCCATAAGATTTAGATCAGATCATCATTTGAAGACAAGAGGACAGGTCCTTCGCGGACAATTTGTTTAGACAACGGAAGGGGAAAATCAACCAAACATCTACTAATGACAGAATTGAACATGAAAAAAGATTCTAAAAAAAGGGGGAAATACACAAACAGAAGCTCTCAAAAAGGCAAGTCGTCTTGATCCTAAAGCTCTTGCTGTGCATCATTTCAAGAGTCGTGAGAATCTCAAATATCAATATTCTGCCGTCCAGGGCATTGGCCAGGAATCAAGCTTGAACAGGCTCATCATCATCTTCAATATCCCAACTCAAATTCTCATCATCTTCTTCAGCAAGCCTCTTCCTCACCTCATCTCTATTTGCACTCTGAACATGAGAAGATACTTTTTTCTCATCACTGCTCTCAATGTCTTCAATCTCATCCCACCCAAAATCTTCCTCTTCCTCTTGCACACTCTGCTGAGAAGAAACAATCTTGTGTTTACCAGAAGCTCCATGATCACTACATTCCCCCTCTGAACACCCCTTCTCAACTGACCTTACCAATGCAGCATCATCGGCCAGTTCCAAACTTTTTCCATCTTCTACTTTCTCTTTAGGAGAACTTATCTCACTGGATCCAGCTGTATTTGAAATTTTATCAGTATCCTTATCAGAACTATCAGCATTGGCCTCACTTTCTCCCTTCTCATCCGCATTATCACAACTCACATTTCTCAATTCATCACTTTCGGCGGTAATTGACTCTGCAGTTTCCAACGAGTCTCGACTGCCGGCTTGTTTAGACTCCTGTTTGCTGCTGTTTAGTATTGCATTACTGCTTTTCTCATTATTAGCCTCATCCTCATCATCAAAATCCCATGACAACACTTCTTCTTCATCTACACTTATTGCTCTCCTCACAAGGTTGGCTCTAACACTCTCTTGCTGCTTGAGCTTATGCACCCTGTAATAGTACCGATACCAGAAGGTATCTTCATCAACTGCACTGGGTACAAGCTTTCTGTAAACACCCTCTAGAACAATATTTTCTCCGATCAAATTCATAAACTCATCCCTCTTATCATTCAAGTAGAACTCCGATTTCCATTTCCTATACTCTTCAGAATCAACTGGTTCCTCTGTGAAAGTATTTGGATCACTCTGGATTGAGGTCAGCTGTGCATCGAACCTACTGTAACGACGGGAATCCAAGCTCCTATTTGCATCAGGGGTTACGGGGTCGGCATCATAAGGTGCAAGAAGAGTATCTTTACCTTGAGAGATGATCTCAGCGGTGGATTTCAACATTCCATCAATGGTTTTGCTAACCGATCCCAAGGAACCATGAGCAACAGACGCGCCCACCTCGATTGTAGCCGGGAGCTCCTTGACCGCACGGCTAGCGGCATCCCTGATAAGCTCCGTCTCTTTCTTCAGACCCGACCCGAATTCCTCCAGATCCCTGCGGTACGTCTCGAGGACAGACTCGGATCGAGAGGCTAAAGTCTTTATCAGACCTCCAAAATTCCAACCACCAGCACCAGTATTAGCCGTAGTCGAACTGGAGCTGGAATTGGGATCGTCTCTTGCTTCGAAATTTCGAGGTGGATCATCGACAACCTCACTTTCCCTGCGATCTACGTCGTCTTGCCTAGATGGCGAATGCTGTTCGGACTCTCGGAGATTTTCCAGATCAGTAGGATCCGGATCATCGGCTAAAATCGATTTGAAGAAATTCATTGTTACAGCAAATAGGTTTAGTTTCAGAGATTTCGGAGGATGGCCTTCCTATTTAGCCAAAGAGATCACAAATGATGAACATCTTGAGTAGCCACAGGAACCATATAACTACTTTTGGGTCCTTCCCAGTTCGGATCGGGCCACATAACTTGCATTTGTATATTGGACTGGTAAAGAGAAAATCCTACCAAAATAAAATAAGGATGCCTTCCATTAGGAATAAAATATTTTATAATTAAAAAAAATCAATTTTATTTTTCTACAGTAACATAAATGCTAAGAAAAGATTTTTAAAGAAAATATTTTTTCTCTAACAAGGAAAAAATAATTTCTGGTAACTTTCACACAAAGAAACTTACTCACCCTCTACCCTCGCCCCGTACAACCAAATGCCCCCACCCCTGAATAGATTTATACCCATGCCTATATCGCANTCCTCTATAAACAATAAAGAGTATGTCCCAAATTACGCGTGAATCAAGCCGTCATTTTAACTGATAATTTGTTAGAGAATGTATTTTCTGTTATTTTGTAGGAGACGACCCAAGCGGTAAAGAATTAGAGAATAGATTTATACCCATGCCTATATCGCAAAAAAATCAAAATTTTATTGATAGGACGTTTTCAATTATCGCGAATATATTGTTACGAATAATTCCAACAACTTCAGGAGAAAAAGAGGCATTTGCCTATTACATCAATGGGATGTCAGCTCAATCCGAAGGAAATTATGCAGAAGCTCTACAAAATTATTATCAAGCCATACACCTAGAAATGGTCCCACCCCTTATCTATATCCCCCTTGCAACCCCCTATCTTGTCCAACCTACCATACCAGTACTGTCACCCGTCCACACCCACCCCTCTCCCCTTTCAAGCTACTTACCCAATGACATCCTCTTTGAGCGAGAACTAGAATAGAATGTGTCTGTCCTAGTTACACTAATTTTGTGCAAATCCCTAGGGATGACGCTTCAGACGAGGCTTGGTTAGAAGCTTAAAAAGATCGTGATATGGGCGGTGATCGCCGCGAGATCTTCTAAGACCAAAATCACAAGCAGAAATATTCAAATCACACTAAGTGAATTATTCAAGAAAGCACCAAACGAAAAAGTTATTGAAGAGACAACTAACTATAAAGAATTTGTGAAAAACTACCACTAATCGAATTTGTAAAAAAAGATCCCCCATATGATATCCTAACAACTTAACATTGTCTGAAATTGGGAGTGAGACCACAAGTGAAATTGGGGGTGAGACCACAAGTCGAAGAATTTCATTTTCCACTCAAGAAGGAGACCATCGACAACACTACAATTGAATTGACTACTGCTATGGGCATACCTTCATGTGTTTACTACGTTCCAGACAGACGAGAGGACTCGAGTGGAATGAAGTGTATATGCTAATGACTCAAAAATATTGTTGAGCGAGTAATCTACCACTGATAGGTACCGATAGTTGAATCCCTGTGACGTTAATGCGATTATTAAGTCACTACATCTGAAATTTATTATGGAGTATGATGTTATATCGCAGGAATCATGACGTTATATTGTAATGTAGAGGTACATTGTTTGATATAACTCGGAAAACAACGTTAGAGCGTGAAGAGCCTAATGGTGAAACAAATTTCCTTGAAGTCGATTGTCAACAACATGGAAAATGTGAGTGTCGCCGCATCACTAATCGGTGAGATATCCTAAAAATATCTTTTGTTGACATCATAACTTAATGAAACGAATGAACAAACTTTGAGTATGACTATACCAATGGGGCAATTAATTAACGCTATGGGATTCAAAAACTCAAAACTACAATATGTGGAGATGGAGGAACTTTATTCAGTCGCCTTGAGAGCAAAATGGGAGGAAGACCAAAATGTAAACTTGATAAACTTCTGATCAACATAAGTTATTATTCGATAATAAACACACTTGATTTTAATAATCTCTGAGAGAAATAACTTGCTCATACGAAACATTCGAAGCTGGTTTTATTTTTTGATTGCCCAGCACCAAAACTTGATCATTGTCCACCACGAAAATGCAAAATGAAAGCTCAGATGACTTTTTTTTAGAGAAACAAGCATTTTTTAATATATGTGTTGATTTAATTTTTGTATAGAAATATGTTTAATTAATTACGAGGAATACTTTAAATGCTTGTTTTTTACATTATATCATTTAAAAATAGAAATTTAATTTGTTTGTATATTATACTAGATGCATGTGGTAATTTTCTTTTTGGCCAATCTATTTAAATTAAAATAATGGTTTAGTGTAAATGTGTTAATTATAAAATAATTATGTTGATCACATCAATGAATAGTGGTTTTGTCCGTCTTTTTCATGCAAGATATCAGTAAATAGAATAATTGTGTTAAACTCACAAAACCTGATTTGGAAGAAAAGTATAGTAAGCAATCCTATCCTCATGTGGGTGCTTTCAGTACCACAGCCCTACTACCATTATGCCTTGCGATGTTACTTGGTTCATCTCTATTTGTGAGTTTTTACACTCTCTTAATCCCTATTTAAATTGCTTGTTTCTGTTTATAATGTTTAATTGAAGTTATTTTCAATATAACTTGTTTGAGAACTAGAACAAAAATAAAATATAAAACTTACATATCAAAAAACTACATCAAAAGCTTTTCTAAACAAGAGATGACATGACTACATTATTTTATCAAATTAGTAACAAAAACAAGAAAAGGAGGATAAAGTTTGACTATGTGATAGTAAACAGACGACTAAATCCGAGACGAAAGGAGGAGAAAATGTAGGACTATATCATATTGCCTTTGCAATGTTTTTTCTGAGTATTAGCATGAGTGTTACGGACTAAAAACAAATTCAAAAGGAACATCATAGAACTCATGTTATCACCAAATAAACTTGACAACTTTATTACGTACTTTTCTAAAACACCATTTATCAACGTTGAATTTATTCAGATGATTTTGAAAATTAAAAAATGGTCACCAGAGCAGTCTATGCTTTTACAGTGGCTCATTCGGAGTACCAAACAATGAATACAATTCCGATGGAGGAAGCTGCAAAAATCTTTTTTTTTTTTTACATTTCCAGCCACATGATTATAGGAAGCTTTGAGATGTCTAGCACTCCCATCTGCCCATCATCTGTGTCTCAAGCCACAGAGAATAGAAATTACAAAATGGGCTTAGTTACCTGGTCAGCGGCATTAGGTGTCCCATGTTATGTACCAGAAACAACTGCACTGCCATACAAATGAATGCTAAACAAGTCTATGATCCAATGTTGTAACATGAACAATATTTTACACCATTAAGATATAGATATCCAAGAGCTATGCAAATCTGGAACCGTTATGACGTCTGCTTTCATTGCAACATATTCAAGCCCAAAGAAGCCCATCAAAACCGAACTCAGAGTTAGATACGGGGCTATCCTCAAATTCTTGTTGATAAATAGCATTATTATGTCCTATTGATTCCACATATGGTCCCAAAAGATCAGAAGATCTTTCAGATGGAATGCTATAGTCTTTTAGGATGCTAGCAGATGCAGCTAAAGCTGCCACCCTTTCCAGAACGACCAAAAAATTGTCTGCAAACTCGAACACTAGATACTTGTCCTCACAAGCTGTGCAAGGGACGAATAAAGTGCATAAGGGCAAAGCAAGGTGGAAAAATTGAAGTAATATTAATGCATAAATAATGCTTACAGTCAAGTAGATGAGCCAAATGGTGGATATTTTTAATTCGAATGCCATTCAACTTCAAGATCTGCAATCAATTTCAGTTAATTACAATGGCCACACACGGGTGAGAGAAAAAAATCCAAAATGTGCAGAGATTTCAACTCAACTCCTTTGATTACCTGTTCATTGCTTATATCTTCATATCCAATGTTAACTTCATTTGCTAGAACCTGTTAACATTTGACATTTCAAATTCTTTCCATAACTGACCCATTCCTGAGAATCCCCCTAGCTAGGCTATATTTTTTTTCTCTAAAATGTATTCATAGCTATCACGGCACCAATGAACTGCCAGGATGCCCAGTCTACTAGGTGACAAGTCATAGATGATAAATAAAGTAATAACAAAACAAATATACCTTACTTAATAGTCCCTCCGTCCTATATCTTTCTTCTCATTTTCCTTTTTGGGCCGTCCATTATCATTCTTCCCGTATCTATAGATGGTAAGTAAAAAATGAAGGACTTAACAGCCCTTTTTATTTTGGAAAAACTTACAACAATACTCCGACAAATATCTGATTTCACAAGAATACGCCGAAAATAGATTAATTACACCATTACTCCCACAATTGCTTTCTTTTTACAAAAACACTCCACCCACCACCTCACTTGCACAATCATATTGTGTAATATCTGCATGGATTTTTAAAGTGATGATTTGAAAAATAAATCACTTTTTTTTGTTTTCATAAAAAAAATTAACTAGGTATTGCTCCTCACCTCCAACGCAAATATTAGTTTTCTTACATATTTATTTTGGTGATTATTTAATGAGTGCTTTTTTTAACACTATTTTTCCCAACATTTTCCCACTAGTTTTTCAAACTTCTTCCAACTTTTCAAACATCCAACTTTAGAATTCCAAAAGAAATAAAGCCCTAATTGTGAGACACGTGATTGATTTTTGAGTTAGAGGAATAAGGAATTTAATTTTTTATGAAAATAAGAAAAGTGATTTATTTTTTAAGCCATCACTTTAGAAATTCATTTAGATTTTACTCTCTCCATTCTAATCTAAGTTCCCTGTTTCGATTTACGATGTTTGACAGAAATTATTTTCAAATATGAAAATTGGTGTAGAATTTAAAAATAAAAATTACATATTTTAAGACTACATCAAAAGATCTACAAAACTAGTGGTGACATGACTATATTTTATCAAATGACTAACAAAACTAGAGAAAAAAAGTGAATAAAGTTTGACCATACAGGCAATTTAATTTGGGACGGAGGGAGTATATAAAATGATTGTGCAATTGTGGTGGCGGGTGGAGTGCTTTTGTAAAAAGAGGGCAATTACTAGAGTAATGATGTAATTAATTGATTTTGGAGTATTCTTGTACAATCAGAGATTTGTCGGAGTAATCCTTTAAATGTTTCCTTTTATTTTTCTTAATTTACCCACCCCAACACCCCACCTATTTACTCCCTTTCTCTGTATTATCACAGATTCTCAGTTGTCCTTCCTCAGCCATCGCCGCCACCCCACCTCCATCGCCTTTGCCCATCCACAACCATTGCCGCTGTCACTCCTCAACCATCGCCGCCACCCCACCTCAAACATCAATGTCGCCCCACCTCAACAAGGTGAGGATGACCGATAACCTTCAGCGAGGATGACCGATAACCTTCAGCGAGGATGACCTATTGCCTCCCTATGTTCGCGCCTCCAGTCACTACAAGTGGTCGCAGTTGAAAGATGGAAGAGTCGAAGAGAAGACTGGCTGATAGAAGCTAGGGTTACTGGGTCAGATGACTCTGTCGTCAGGGAAGCCATTGTATTCAGGGAAGGCCACCTCGTAAACTACACGATGCCATGTGAAGATCTGTTGAGGCGAATGAAGACAGTGGCCAAAAGAAAACAACTGAATGCCTAGTTTGCAACTAGGCGTCGCCTAGGCGATGCCGTGATATCTAAGGTTTTATTCAATTCTCTGTTACAAATGTACTGAACCACTGATAATTTAACATTTATGTTGCTGTAACACAGAGACAGCATGAATGAGCGTGTGAATCTGTAGGAGAGATATGATGATGCATTCATGCACTGAGTGGCAATGTGCCTATACCTGTGATAATACCACAATCTGTTCATCTTTGAACTTTGCTAGAGAATATCGTGCCTTGGTCATTAGCTTTAGCTAACCGAACGAAAGGAAAATAATCAGTTGAGATGGAAACATTCATTTACGGAACTAATGCAGATATCAACTGTTAAAAAAACATACCCCCATGCTGTCTTCACATTCTTCCCTGCAGAGTTACATATTAATGCAATTTTCTTTATCGTCAAGGGTGAAAAACGAACATAATGCATTAATCATCTCATTCAACATACTCTATCAACGGTTCAGAAAGTGGAGTAAACACCAATCCAGCAACTATCAGGTATGATGGCTGGCCTCCTTCAATATGATATGGAACCTAAAGATGATGCCAAACATGTCAACATCAATACCATGAAGTTTCAAGCCAGAGTTCTGTAATAAGGAAGAACTGAGACATGCATAAATATATCAAAAGAAAGCTCATTTACATACCAAATGTACACGAGGACTAAGTGTTATTTGAACGTTCATAAATATGCCTGCTCTTATAATACCAAGTTTCGCACAATCTCCTGCAAACCTGAATTTTATATATGTTATATTCAATTTATTTAAATATTGGTGTAAAATTAAAAACAAATAGAACTTACGTACTATTTATTTGAAACCTACTTCAAAAGTTCGAAAAAAAAAACAATATGTGACTTGACTATTTGATTTTAACAAATGATTAGAGAAATTCGTTTGACCCTGTGAACAGTAAAAGGGAAGATTAAAAAAGAGACTGGGGAGTAATATTTTTGCAATATACCAACTCGTCAAAGTCACAATTGCAGTTTATTTCACTGTCATGGTTGATAACCACGGATAGGATGCGACACCTATTCCCATTAGTCGAATGTTTCTATCCCAACTCCCGACCATTATTTCACTTTGGGCAGATACAGTTACCCGGGCCATGTAGTCTTGCAATTTTGCAAAGAAGAGAAACTAACTTATCCTACACGCATCATATAATCCCTGGAGACACATACCAACACAATTAATATTGCAGGCAGTGTTTCATTTAGTAAGCAAAGATGAACTCCTAAATTATTTTTTCAGAGTTAAATGGGCAAAAAAGGAAGAGACGTGGCCTAATTCAAAGAAGAAATAAGTCCATTGATAAGATTACCCTTTCCTATGGGATTTCAATCCTGTCTTATTCGATTACCGGAGGAACTAAAAACGGAACTTCTTGTGTTTTGAAGATAAACTTACACCCTATGAATTGGGGCTTCAGTAGAACACATATTGCCAGATAGGCAAGAGTGGAACATGATAATACTTTTGAATGAACACATGATCTTATCACTTGGTTCATGGAAGTGATTCATTCATGCAAAAGATATACATATTATTTAAGTAAACAAACATTACTTTTGACTGATCAGGTAGCGAAATGCTATTCTTTCAGCTGATCGGAAAGGAACTGTTCCTTCACACCCAACACGAACACCATCAAAGCTCACAATTACGTCCCCCTGACACAGTAAGTTGATATTCAGATGAAACTCCCAATGCCCGTAAATTTGTAGAGGGATTAACTCACAACACCAACAAAAGCTAACAAACAAAAACAAGGAAAGTGATCAAGAGAATGAACACTGAATCCAATTAGAACAGTGTAATTTATTCCTTTTGTGTAGTTTCATTAACCATATCATTCAAGCCGGCCACAAACGTGAAGGATCATTTATCCTTAGCACTCCCAAGTCCTAACCTAAGTTACCACAAACATAATACAATCCAGTTGAAGCTGTAAAGTAAAAATAGATTTATTTAGGTATGTATGGAGTGGCTTAGGCTAATATGAGATGTTTGGCACTAAATTTATTTCAAAAATAATGTCAAACCTGAGTTCAAAACAATAAACCACTGCATCAGCAGCAGCAGCAGCACCTCAATCCCAACTAGTTAGGGCGTTGCATTAAATTTACTTCATCTATTTGGATTTAGTTGTCGACTTTCTAAAAAATATCATATTTCAAAAAATGAGTTTATAATGTCAATTAAGTCCTTCAATTGAGCTTGCCCCTCATTAATGTCAACAATCCTTGTACCCTATCTCTAGCATATTTAAGACAATTCATCATTTTCTTTTGTTGAATATGGAAAGTAGACAACTAGTTCCGGACAAACAAAAACAATAAAACAGACAACTAAATCTGGACGGATGGAGTACTTTCTAGTGCTAATTAATCGTATCCACTTGCCTTCACATTATAAAAATCAAGTAAAAAAATCTAAATCTAAATCTGCCGTCATTGATTATTTTCAAATGCATCAAAAATATCATGAACCAATGATTAGTTGAATAGATGCTAGTGACATGTCAATCACATGAATGATATCGCATGTTGTGCATGCAAATCATGTAACTGATACTGAAACACATGTAATTATGTATGGCCACAAACGGAACAATAATTGGAAAGTAACCCCTAAATTGGCACAGAAAAAGAAAATGAAATTGTATATGGATGCTCAACACATCTTTGTATTTTAAGTTACTCATCAAATGTATTATTTCTATAGTTTGTCTTTTGATTACAATTTACTTTCATCGTATCCTCCTTTTTAAAATAAATTTCGAAAGAAAAATTGGAGATGATCCTCAAAGAAAAATTAAAAGAATATTATGGAGCTACAAAGTCATTCATGAAAATGTTTTAGTTTTGGGTTCATAATGGACTAAATCAAATGGCACATTAAACTTCCAGTGCTTCTTACTTTCTATGAAGTTTTGGGCAGTAAATGCAACAATGCATCTAGGGCCCAACGGAAACAACGCTCCTTATTTCACAGGGGTAAGACTGCGTACATATTAACTCCCCAAGATGGCAAGACCATATCGCAGTTGGGATTATAGTATTACGCGTGATTGTTATTATAGTGTGTTCCAAGTAGGGAGTTTCCATCCAAAAGCTCCACCCCTTTTTCCATTGCTCTCTCTTTGGACTGCCACCATAGGCAAAAAGAAGATCCCTTCACTAGCCTTCACACCTTTGCGGAGTGCAGAAGCACCAGACAGAAGCAAAAAATGTTCGTGATGAGATTCTACACCCAAACCCATAACAATAACATGACCAAAAGCATTAAAAGATATTTCTCAAGCGCCTTGTGATGTGTTTACAATCTGCCAGACCTAATCAGAGTAATCACAATTTAAAAATGAACAAAAGAGTAGGAAAATGGAAGAATACAGTACAGGGTAATTGAATGCCCAGAAAGTCATAACTTTTTCGGTTATTAACCTCAAGAGAAAGTTCTAACCAATAATAAGTTAATAACAAGTGCCCGGTGAAATAAGTGCAACTGTAATAGTTCAAAATGGTGCAAGGAACGACTGGCATTAAACAATTTATCCACATTAGTTCAAAGTTGATTTTTTAAAATAGGTAGACAAAAATACCTCTTTTAAGATATTATAGGCATCAGATGTAGGTTCAACTTTCCTGATGAGAACACCCTGAAAAAAAAAATCCTTATTATCCCATGCACGATAGTGTTATAGTGAATGTCAAAAGATCCTACCAGCATCCCTTCTAATCTTCATGTTTCCCACTTTAGTCCTCCCTTAAAAACCTTAGCAATGTCTTTTAGGCAAAAAATCATGTAAACTGCTATTGATTACACAATTAGACTTGGCACGGAGATTAAGAAAAGTGAAATTACACTCCATACTAGTCAAAAAATCATGTAAATTCCTTTCTAAAAATATATCACTTGAAAATTTTCATTTTCTTAAACTCCATGCAATATGGGAAGGGGTAAATTGAATATGCGCGGAGGGAGTATGACACACTATTCTTGATATATGGTTCAACTTCAAAAGCCAGGGAGAAGGAATTGAGGCATAAGCAATGTAAGGAGCATTAAGGGTGAGGATGGGCAGATTAAACTGAATGAGGGAGAGCAAACCAGCAAAACCCAGAGAGAGAATGTGTCAAGAGACAAGCACGGTGAGGTACATTAAAGATGAGGATGGATGAGTGCTAGTGAAGAACAAGGCAATTATGAGGAATATGGTTCTCCAGTTATTTATTTTCTAAAGTTATTGCGTGAAGTACAGGAAAGAAATGGACTTCGAGGCAGTATGAAAAAATAGCTTTCACACAAACGATGGAAGTGATGTCAGCACCAAGGAAAATAAATAGGAAGGGCTAGAGCCATAAGCCAAAACCAAATCACCATTGAGGCGAGGCGGTGCTTGGTGGAGGGAGAGCAGTGGCCAACAAGCTTTCTTGACATCCTTTTCAAAATCACCAAGATGCCCAAGAAGTAGAGGCTCAGTGTGGTGATGTTGTTCTAATATGTTGTTCCAAGTATCACAACATAAAGCTAGTCCCCCACACCATGAAAAATATGGAAGAGTGATTGAGTACATGTAGATCTAGCAATCAGCCTAGTCAGGTCATTCGATTCAGATTATACTTGAGGTCAACAGGAACCAGGTCACTTCGGGTTCAGTTGGGGTCACTTTCAATTCAGATTGATTTCAGGTCACTTGACTTTTGGTGCAATAGCATGTCCTCCAAAGACTAAAAAGTTTCATGGAAAAAGATTGGGCCAGTTCGGTTTGATTTGGGTCATTTTCAGGTTCAAAATCATATCCGGTCTGCTATTTTGGCCTTTAGGGTTCAATTTCAAGTCATTCGGGTTGGGTGACTCTTGTCAGGTCTAATTTCAGGTCATTTAGGTTGGATTGTACGGAGTATATGTTTCAACAAGTTGTTTTTAGCTTGGTGCAGGATAGTAGATATATTTTACTAAGTAGATCTATGAGCATAGTGAAATTGTAATTCGAAACATACCCATTGTTAGAATATAAATAACTCTTCCTGGGCCACAGCCACAAGCTTGAGCTTTTGGTTGAGTTGGTTCCTTGACATGGTATCGGAGTCTTGTTGACTAAGAGGTCACAAGTTCGAAACTCAGCGCCACCCAGTTTTAAGAAAATTAAAGTTTTACATGCAAGGCTCGAAAAAAACTAAGCCTGCACGTGAGGGGCATGTTAGAATATAAATAACTCTTCCTGGGCCACAACCACAAGCTTGAGCTTTTGGTTGAGTTGGTTCCTTAACACCCATTTTTAATCTCATTATGTTTTACCATCTTCTCTAGACACAAATATACTTCTCTGCAACTGCAATTGAGTTCCAGACCAACAGGATATAGATGGGGCAGTGAAATTGCAATGGTGGTCCCCCATTTACATAATTATCACAGCACCAACGAAGTGCCAGGACGCCTAAATGACTACGTGACCACCTAGGCGACTAGTCATAAATGATAAATACAGTAACAGTGATACAAATATACACTCATACTCACTCCGTCTCAAATCTCCTTGTTTTGACTTTTATGTGATTTAAGGAAGGGATATTTTTGTGTCAAATTTCCCAAATTACTCTTGATGTGATGGGTAAAAGTAGGATGTGATGAGTAGATTATTAGTAAGAATTAATAGGGTTAAAAGTTGTTTTTTTAATAGAAGGGAGAAAGGGATTTAGGGACAAGAAAAAAAATAAAGGAGAAAGACTTTAAGGGACGGAGGGAGTAGATTTTGTTATTCATAAAGCATAAACTTCATGGCTCATACTCAACATAAGTAATATTCATTTCATTTGACACAAAATAGCGTACAAAAACTTATTGTGTTGCTGGATCCATAATCTTTGTTAAGAAAACCAGTTCTAATATTCAAGTCTACGATTGAACAGTAATTATTAAGTCTTAATTAATTACTTAATTGAGGAATAAAGAAAAAGGCAGAGTAACCTAGGAATTGGGCTGAAGAGTATAAACTAGGGTTATGTCAAATTTAAACGGGAACCAAGGCACGAATTCCAGGTTACAAAGAAATAAAAAAAAGAAAGGGAAAAAGGGAAGAGACAGATCGACATAGACTTCTTGATTTTTTTTAAAAAGACAAACAAATATACATACTATACGGAGCATTCAATTCAATAGTAAAAACAAAAAAATGAAGAGTTGAAGAGAGGATGGCTGACAGAAGCTAGAGTTTATGCGAGGATCATTAATTACCTTCAGCGAGGATGATTGGTTGACATCCTATGCTCACAATCTCCAGTCGCTACAAGCGGGGCTGCCATGGAAAGGTGGAAGGGTCGAAGAGAAGATTGGCAGACAGAAGCTAGGATTAGTGGGTCAGACGTTACCTGGACACCATGTCGTTGACTGATCAACGCCAGACAACATCAAGAGGAGATCTGGCGAGGTGAATGAAGACGGTGAGAAAATGACTCGATATCTAGTTGGCAACCAGGCGCTGCCTAGGCGGCATCGTGATAACTATGCTTATGCATGCTTTCCCAGATGGGGTAGTGAAGAATGCTTACACTACTTACAATAACAACTCTATCAAACATGAATTTAAAACAGAAATAAACAAAACTCATCTGAAAAAAAAATCATCTTCACATTCTGAACTTAAACTCATTATACCCGTAGAATACTAAGAATATGGATTTCACCCTAAGAGGTAAAAGCAACTGGAGGACGTCACTCATATGGCATCCCCTATATGACATCACACTAATTTCAAAGCTACACCTCACATTCACACCAATTATACAACACATTGAAGGCTCATTCTACTAAAATTTAAGCCTGTGTAATATTTCCCTATTTTACTTAATACAATCATAAGAAATACAAATCAAATACCTATCTTCTTCAAAATATGGTTTGTCTTATATTGTTTCCAATATCGAGCTGGTCGCGGCTGCTAACACCACTCACTAGCTTCCTAGCATCTAAATATTCAACACTTCTCTACCTTCGTTCTTCCTCATAAAAATTACAGGATTTACAGCTGTGGTCAGTTAGTCAGTGATCACTTCATATTTGAGAACAAGAATTTAAGAACCTCGATACCTCTCAAAAAAGGAGCAATAACAAAGAAAGGTGATCCGTGGGTTGATTTCATATTAATAGAAACTAGTTCTGATACTATCTCAAAATGAAAGTGTCAAACAAGCTAATGATACAAATTGTATCAAACAATCAAAAAATGCATACTTCAGTAGATGGAACTTTTAAGCAAGCACGTAATGCTGGATTCTCTAGCTTTTGCAGCAAAACTCCAAGACTGGGGAAACCTGAAAAATGAATGGCATATTGTAGTTTAATTGTTTGATCACTCTCTCAATCCAGTTAATTCTTTGGAACTACATTTGATGGCATCAATGAAAGAATTATTTTTAGCAAATTATTAATTTAGAATTCAAAATGAACAACCTTGAACATTTAAATGTAACTCCAAATGCCAATATTCCGAACTCATAAGAATCAACAACACAACAACCCAGTTGGATCTCATGAGAGTAGGGCAAACTCATAAGAATCATGACATGTAAACATTACTCTCTGTTTCTATTTATCTATCCAGGTTGACCAATTTTCTTTGTTCCTTCCTATCTTTTTATTTATGAAAGTTATGCACAATAAATACTTTTTCCAAAGATACCCTTCTCATAATATTCAATCTACCCACTTTCCTAAGAATGGCTTTTAATGAGAACACTTTTGATATTAAATTATCCATTAGAAGTTTTCATGAATTTAGTGTCCCTAAACATTTCCTTTAACTCTTGCTCAATAAAGAACACCGACATGCAGCAGATGAGTGTTCAGAGAGTTGAGGATACTATGGTGGATGATCACAAACTATGAAGCATAAGGTTCGGAACCACGTTATCTGGGACACAGGGGGAGTGGCTCTCGTGAGGATAAAATGCCTGAAACTAGATTGAGGTAGTTTGGGCATGTGCAGAGGAGGAGAGAGGAAGGGCCGTAAAGCTCCTCTGAGGATGTGCTAGAGGTTGGTCATAGGGGAACTGAGGAAGGGTACAGGTGGACAGAAAAGGAGTTGGAGTGAGGTGATCAGACATGACTTAGGTCCTATTTGGTTGGAGGGGAAGGGAGGAAAGGAACAGAAGGGAGGGAATGGGAAGAGATCACCTCACTTTGGTTTGGGTGAGGGAAGGGAATGAGCTATCCTAGGGCATCAATCGGAACAGCCATGGCAAACCCAAACGAGGAAGATGGACAGAGGCAACTACCATTAACAGAGATGGATTCATATTTCATAGTTCTAATGTTTGCCACTTTGCCTCAAAATTATACTGAAATCCTTTTAATCTTCATTTTTTATATAACCCATATGAAGCACTCAGGTTCTCAAATTGCAATTCCATTTTGTATTTAAAGAAATTTCAATTATTAAAGAAGAAAATCAAGAATCATGCAATTTAGGAAGAAAAAAAAGTACGAATGATGAAGGAAGAAGAAGACTGGAAAGAAAGAGAATAGCAGAGAAGTGTCAATGGAAGAAGAGAGAGATATGAATGGAAAGCAGTGGGGAGAAAAAAGACATTCCGTCTGATTTGGGGGAACAATTTGGAGATGAGGGGGGAATTTGGAGTGAAATTTTGGATTCCCTCCCCTCCATTTTTTAAACCAAATAAGGGGATAGAGTCATTTCCCCTCCCTTTCCCTCCTCTCCCACCCAACCAAATATAGCCTTAAGGTTTTTGTAGCTCACCAAGGGCATGACCATCGAGGACTCGAGTGGTATAGACTTTGATAAGTGTGTTTAAGCCTATCTGGGTTGGTCGGGTCTTGTGGGGTGCTTGCTTTGTGGTCTACCTGTTTTTGTTCTGTGTTGGCACCTTTTTTTTCCCTGTCATACATGTTTTCCTCTCCTTTTGTTGGATAGTCTTGTTAGGTCGTCGCCTAGTCCAAGACTAGTCACCAACCAGTCATCCACGCGGTTTCATTAGCGCCTGAGGGAAGACTAAGCGTCTGGTTGTGCAAATCAACGTCTAGGCATCGCCTAGTCACCGCGTAATCTGTGTTTCTAACCCTACCCAATTTTACCCAACACCACCCGACCCAAATTTCATTATAGTTTAAGAAGCAGTTGAAGCTTCTTAAAAAACCTCCTAATCAGCGCACCAGCACCATAGTTGTTACGGTGGCTAGGCGAGTCTTGGCGTTAGGGTACCTTCCAATCGCCTAAGCAATTAGGCATCCGCCTAGGCATCCTGTAGGCAAGTGGGCTATGACAACTTTATTATTTTATAGGTATTAGTATAAAAACATATAACATGAAATAAGTAATTAAAGAGTACATATGTACCCCAAAAAAAGAATAAATATTCTGAAATATATGAATGAATGTTGTTTTTAAAAAATTAAAAATTAAAATTATATTAAAAAAGAAGTATATTTTTTACACAAGTTAGTAAGTTAGTGGGCTTTTTAAACTTTTTTAGAGTGAAATCAAATTTGGGCCCAACACTCATTTAATAAAGAGCTATACTTAATAAGTGCAAAGGTCCACTACACATTTAATATACTCAGCCCAAATAAGTTAACCTAAATAACTATGGAGAGTTGAGGGTCTAGACTTGGAAGCCGCTGGATCTCGCGAGTCACGACACTGAATCAAAATCGGCTAGGAAGGTAAACTCGATCTTCAAGTCTCTCTCCCTATCGTCTTCATTGGATCTTTTTCTCCTCCTTCGTCCTCTCTCAGGCTTCTTTCAATCATCTTCTTCTCCCGTGTTTCCCCAAAAAAACCTAGGTGAGCAGTTTGGCGTCCATATAACCTCGCCCAGACGCCTAAGCATCGCCTAGGCGACACCTTGATAACTATGACCAGCACATCACGAGTAACGCCTTAGGGAGCCGCTAATGATGATATTTGATATCTCAAAATATGGAATTGAATATTTTAATATGTTATTCCGTATTTTTGTGCTTGTTATCTTTGTTAGTCTTGAAGACTGAAGGGTATTTGTTTCTTATGTACTCTTCGCTATGTGAGTTTATGTGCTATCTTTAAACAAAATTCTGTTATGGTAATAATATTTCATCTTTCATATATGTGTGTGTGCGTGTGTGTGTGTGTGGGCATGCGGGCGTGTGTGTGTGTGGTTATCTTTTGTGAATGGCGATATATATAATTTTAAAGATTTCATTACTAATTGTGATTTGTCATACGACTAGTAGGCTGACTAGTCCACTACCCTCTTCTTCACCGACTCAACTTATCACCGTGATAACCATGGTTATTTTAGTAATGTGTTGTATGTTTTCGATGAGAACATCTCTACCTTTTTAGGTAGAAGTAAGATCTGTGTACCACCATCCTTATGGGTTCTTGATTCTCTTAAAAAGTGTGATTTCTTAAACCTAGAAAGATAAATAGGGATGGAGGGAGTATTGTTCTTCAATTAATAAACATCAAGCATACTTTCAAAAAAAAGAAACATCAATCACAAGATAGAAGCTTCCATGAATGGCAAATAAAAGTTTAATGTAAGGAGACCAAAATATGTGCTCAACAGTTTGATATTTAATAGTAATTCATTCTTTGGCTGGTATTATACGAGCGTGACAATTGACAACTCAATGCACATGGTAAAGAACAAGTGAACAACAATTATACAGACAAGTAATACACAAATACTCCATATAAAAAATGTCAAGTGAACTCCAACAGGAACAAAATGTTCCTGATTTGGTCCAGCATACATTTTAAGGATATGATTTTATAAAGAATAGCTCACCAGAGTACTTCCCATTTCTCTCATAGTCTTGTAGAAAATGAGATACAACTGTTGTAGGGATCACATACCCAATATTCTCCACTTCATCAGATCTGAAAACCTAAACATAGTGTCTTGTAAAAAAATAAAGAAGCAAAATAAAAAAACATCGAATTAAGAAAAGCAGCATTGTAGACAGAAAACTTAAAATCATCAAGAGCTGCAATGATTATTGAAATGGAGAACATTAGAAGTCTGCTGCAAAATAACTACCAAGTTATTGCACAACTTAGGAGACAACACCTAGCATGCCCAAACATTCACAAGGCACTACCTGAAATGCAACACCTATGCACTTCCCATGATCATTGAACGCAGGGCCACCACTGTTACCTAACATTTTGGCAAATAGATCCAGACTCATAATGTCAGAAAATAGAGCAACATGACAAGCCAATTCAAACGGGACAATAGAACCGTTTTTTAATCAGGTGAACTTTACAGTTCCACGTACCAGGATTTATTGCTGCATCAATTTGAATACCCAACAACTCAGATGATCCATGAGCATATGATGTAACCTGCATGCAATTGCTAATTAAGGAGTTAGCATGATACTTGCCAGAATGGTATGCCGATTCAGTATTGGAAGGAAACATATCTATTTGTCAAGGTATATTACTTTCTACAGGTAAAATGATTCTTCTGCTTAGGTAACCATAAAAGGAATATTATTACTGATGCAGACATGATGAATTTAAGGGGAGAATGAAAATTTAGGTTGTCTAAACTTGGTACAAATGAGCGACGTTAATAGTTACTAGTTAGTAACAAGTAATAAGTCAAATGATGAGCTAATGAATGACATCCTCATGGTGATCAGATGATGTCACCATGATGTCACAATTCTATAGTATTCCACTATGCAATTTCACTTTTTCTCTAACTCCGTGAAAAAGCAAACAAGAGCTTCTTTTAGAGATGGAGGGAGTATTAGAAGACTCATGGAACGTGCACATCGGAGATTTGTTTACAAGAACAACAGCAGGAAGATGCGTTGTTCTAGACATATTGAAGATAAGTATCAAGTTACCAAGAATGTGATTTGAAGCTCCTGAATAAAGATACAGAGTGGATTAACCCCTTTTGAGGTATAAGTTCAGCTTGAAGTGTTGATATCAACCATATTTAAGGAGATGCAAGAAGAGATATCATTTGGTTTTTCTTTTTTAATGATGTAGTTGAAAACAAAAGTAGCCGGAGCATTTGAATCAACTGGAGCAGCTACAAGAGAAGTCAGTAGTCATTTTCCAGAACTATCAGCAGCGCATGGCAAGACAGCAAAGATCTGTGAGTTGGTGACTGGAGAAATGTTCTTAAAAACTTTTGGATCCTAGGAACTGGGTGACAGCACGTGAATGCACTTTTTGTGGTGGACTGGTGGATAAAAACTTTCAATTGATCAACAGGATGGAAGGAAAATGATGGTGTTGTTGGATTTGAGATATGCCAGGGAATAATATGCCTGGTAGGATGAGAGTTTTTTGGCTGGAATCTTGGTCGGAATAGTAAAGCATCCACACTCACTTTACACAAAAAAAAAACCTCGGAGCTTGACTCTAATACTATGATGTATTTAAGAAGAGAATATAATTGTTATGTTCTCTCGAGTCTAAGCTTGGTAAAACTGAGTTATATTTATAGCTAGTTACAAGTAATAAACCAAACGATGAGCTAAGAAATGACATCATCATGGTGATGTAACCAAGTTGATGTCACTATGATGATGTCATGATTCTAGATAATTCTGAAACACGCAGTTATACAGCATTAAGCATTTCGGTACTGCCACATCAGGTTGAAAGAAGTAAAAAAACATACTCCTTTCCCGCAGTATTTGTCTAGTTTTGTTTCTGCACAAAAACCATAGTAAGGGGTAAATTGACAAAATCACCCCAAACACAACATCCTCATTCCTTTGTTGCTTCAGGCCTCCAGCCCATTCTCTCTGGTGCTGAAACTTCTCCTACCCTAACCTTATCTTGCCGATGCACAGAGCCACAAACCACCCAAACACCATCCACACTGCACAAATTAAAGCACCCCACGGCCACCCAAGGACTGCCTCTACTTAATGAAATAAAGAATATGAAAGCAGATATGGACAAAGAGGAAGGATCCCAAACCAACTTGGATCTAATCTGAGACAGTGAAGGACCCGATCTAGCAAAAGGGGGGAAAAGGGTCCATCTTCTATTCAAGTCCAGCACCCAAACTTGAAGCTGCTTTAAGAAAGCTTTGCTGACACGTCCTTAATTACTACCCCCCACTAAGCAAATGACAAACTCAATTGAAATCCAAAGTCAAAATGCTCTAATGAAGTTAAACCTATTCTCCACACAGAGCTCCAATCGGAAGAGAATGTATCCAGAGTCTTCTAGTTGTAGAAGATGAGCGAGGATCAGGTTGTAATGATGAGGGAAAAATTGACATTGCATATTATTTTTCTTACGTTAAAAGGAAAGTGGACCGAATATTGTGGGACAATCCAAAAAGGAATATTGGACGAATACTCTAGGACAAAGGTAGCATAGCATAATGATTAATGCACAAAACATCTCATGTAATGAGAATATGAGGTTAGGCTCATAATTCTGCCTAATATCTTTACCTTTACCCACGTCACATATGTAATTACAAATCATTGAAAGAAAAACATTGAGTAATAACAAACCTCAATTCTAGAAACTACCCCCTTGGTCACAGAAATTGTATCTCCTCCAAGTGGATATCCTACTACAGTTACTGCATCCTGCAAAAAGAAGAGTTACAAGGTCAGCATAAGACCATCAGATGAAAATCTGCCTCTTTTTACCAAAATGAAAAAGGAGAATCACCTGCAATCGGGGCAAGTGCCCAAAGCAAAGTGGATCGGTTCCCTTCCAAAATTCCTCACTTTCTACAGAGAGTAATGCTATGTCACATTCAACTCCTCTTGCTAGCACCTGATTACATTCATCACTCAAAATTTAGAACATGAACAAGGGTTAAAGTGAGAAACAAAACAAGTAAACAAAAGATAGAGCCCACTGAGGACTAACGAAATAGCTTAGTGGGATTATTGTTGGAGTGTGTTGGACAATGTGCTATCATATATATACATATATATACATATATATATATATATATATATGTTAAATATGGCAGATATATTATTCTTATTATTTAGAATATCTGGTTACCTTATTTACCTAGACTTTACCTCCTCCCCGTGTATGTATAAATACCCCGACATATGATGAATAAAGTAAATTAAATAAGAGTCATCATGTTCATCAAACACAATATATGGGTATATGAGATACCTAAGGTCTTATAATACTTAATTACCACCTGAAGTGGCTTATTTTTAGTAAAAAAAAATCTCATTATACAGACATGTTTTGATATTTCAAGACCTTTGTTCTAATCAATATATGATTCCTCATCAATATTCCTAAAGAATGATGTAGTAAATTTATTATAATCAAAAGAGTGATTATACATATTATATTTTTTTTAGATGTAAGATATTCTTTTCTCTTTAAAGCGTAAATATAATTTTTCTTGTTATACAAAACTTATAGATAGCTCCAGAAGAGCATTGCATAGTAAGAGCTGCATAATAGAAAAAAATAAAAGTCTCATACATATTGAATATTTTGAGAGAGTAACTATTGTCGTGCATTGACGAATATTCTGTTGGTATTGGCAAATCCTTATTGTTTAAGGTGTCTCTATTAATGTTTAAGATACCAGTGGAAATGAATATTACATGACACTTGATCGAGATTTGTTTTCACGTAAACCAGAAGTTTACTGAACTAATTTTTATTTTAAACATAACCAATTAAATTATCACAATTTAGGTTGTGATGTGAAGAAAAAATCATTAAGAACTCAAGTGATTATTAGAACCAGAAGATCTTATTGTTTTGTTCTCATTAAAAGATTATTATTAGATTATTACTAATGAAACTTGAGATTCATTTCATACATATTTAGAAATTGTTAAAGGATAATTGATTGGGCCCATCAACTATTTGTGATCACAATTTAAATGTTATATATGATGCATGGTTATATTTTTCATATTTGTTGACAATTAACTCGTAACCCGAAGTTTATGATATTTGTCCTATGGACATATATTATAGGTTATGTTGAACATCATTAGTCACATAAGAGCCTGCAGCTCTAGTTAATATGCAAAGTGCGTCGAATTAGTGGCTATACTTTTGATTATGAGAACAAATCATTTTATACTGGTTTTTGAATCTTCATTTATGTGGTAATTATTTGGAGCAGATGCTTAATGGGCTTAAATTAAGATACATTATCAAGATACCACAATGGTAGGTAGACACTGAGGAAAGGTTTTTGAAGGAGTTGAATGGAAGATAAATCCCATGACATGTGCTAGATTATATATAAATTAAAGAAGATGTGAACCTGAAGTTCAAGAAAGAAGATTGTACTAAGATATTGCAAATAAAGTGCTCATTATGAATTTTATGTGTCAATTGTAAACACTTTGATTCGAAGTGAATTCTTGATATTTTCTCAACCTAAAAAAAATGGTTTTATTATAAGGAACCTGTAGTTCCAACATATGAGAAGCCGAAGTTCTCCTTCACATGTATTTTATATACACATGTTCATTTTTATTAATCCTTCCCTATAAATAAAATGTCAAATCTTCAAATTTTTGAGTTTCTTACACTTGATATCTCCTGAAGAGAAACAAGTTTGTCCCTTCTCACAATATTTGATTATTTGATTAGGTGCCTTATATCTCCTCTCCCCCACAATGCATTTAATATAATGTAGAAGACTGTGTATTGACATTGGCTATAACTCCTCGTCTATTGTTAAATGTTTAGAGTTTTTGATAGGAGATTTATTAACATCAAAGTAAGTTGGTTGTCAATTTTATGATGAAATATTCCCATTCTTAGGGGGAGACAAGAATAATGAAAGACTGGTAATACAAAAAATTATATGAAATGCATCATTGTAAATTTTCGACTCCTGAAGTGGTCAATGTAATTTTGAAGTCTGATTTGCAAAGAAGAGCAAATGAATTACTCGATGCATTCACATATATGAGCAGAGTGACAAAGTTACATATACCAGCATCTTATGCATCGCTTGATTTAATGTAGTCCCAGAAGTGACTATTGAACATTTTATGTGGGAGAATAATTGGTTTCGAAGATAAGAACCCACAAAAATGAAGATAGCAAAAATGCTATTAGTGAAACCACATACATGATTATGAGTGAAACCCCAGAAGAGGTAATTGTCCCAGAAGAAGACTAATACTATTCCAGAAGAAAATGAAACCCCAGAAGAGATAAATGTCCTGGAAGAGACTAATATGATTCCAGAAGAATAAGTTTCCTAAAGAAACATCGGTACCAAAAGAAAATGAGATCTCTATTAATTATGTACGAGACTGTACAATATGGAACTAAAATGAAACACGTGTTAATGATATTCTTGCACATGCTATGGCAACTGATGTAATCAATAAAAGAGATTACATGCCTAAAACTCAAAGAAGAGTACATGTAGATAGTACATAAATGATTTGCCAAATGGCAAAAGACCCTGAAGGTCGAATATAAGTCACTCGATAAATGGAATATTTTCGGACCTGAAGTCTGAACACCCATAGACGTCAAACCAATAGGTTTAAAATGGGTGTCTGTAATAAACAAAAATAAAATGAATGAGATTGTGCGATATGAAGTACTACTTGTAAGGCAAGGGTTTTTCCCTAATCCCAGGAGTTGATTATGAGGAAACGTATTCTCCACTAGTGGATGCAATATCCTTTTAGAATTTTAATTGGTCTTGCAATCTCAAAAGGACTTCAAATAAATGATATAGATGTCGTTATAACATAATTATAAGGGACACTTGAAATCAACATCTGTGTGATAATAATCCCCGTAGGATTCAAAATGCCAGAAGCAATAAAATTAATGCATTGAGATATGTGTGAAGAGATCGTGGAATGGTCTTAAGTAATCTGGTCATATGTGGTAAAATTGACCCAGTGAATATCTCGAAAAAGAAAGATACAAATTTGAAATCAACCTATGTGTTGTCATTCAAGGATCGCTCTCAATATTCTTTATTATAGCAGTTTACGTCGACGTATAAATATCATTAGATCTCCTGAAGAGATAGAAAAAACTGTTAAACTCTTGAAAAGAGAATTTGAGAAGGAAGATCCCGACATGACATAAATTATACTTCAGATTGTATTTTAAACACCTATATGACGGGACATTTGTCCATAATTTAAACTACATCCAGAAGATGGTAACACGTTGAAATATGGATAAAGCTCATCCTTTGAACATACCCATGGGTGTTCACTCATATATATACATAACATTCTAATCGCCTCCCAGAAGAGGGCGAAGAAGTACTTGGTTCTGAAGTACCAAACTTCAGTGTGAAATTTGACGGGTAATGTGTTCACATATGGTGATACGACATTTTCTTGGAAATCAACTGAGCGAGCACGAACAACAGCATGGAATCAAGCCGAACTGATAGCATTATACGACAGTGATCGAGAGCGAGCATGGTAGAGATTGCTGATGAATCTCATACAAGGAGCATATAGTTTGAAAGAAATCAAGAAGAATGCTACGATTATATATAAAGATAACGCAACATGCATAGCTCAAATCAAGGAAGGCTACATCAAGGGAGACAGAACGAAGCAAATCTCTGCAAAGTTTTTCTCAACATCTGATATGCAAAAAGAAGGAGAGGTCGATGTTCTTCAAGTCAAATCAAGCAAAAGTTGGCGGACTTATTCACCAAATCTCTGCCTAGACACAGTTTTGAGCAACTCATAAAGAAGATTGGACTTCGCACGCTAAAAGAGATAAATTAGTTTGAGGGGGAGTATATTTTTATTTTAAGAGAAAACGTTATACACGTTGTACTCTTTTTCCCTTAACTAAGTTTTGTCCCACTGGGTTTTCTTAGTAAGGTTTTTAATGAGACAGCATAACTGATCCTACAATATCAGTTAATATAGGTCCTGAAGAACCTAGCCAACATTATCCTGTAGCATAATGTTGTTAGTGTATAATGAACGATGATATATCTGAGGGGGAGTGTTAAATATGGCAGATATATTATTCTTATTTTTTAGAATATCTGGTTACCTTATTTACCTAGACTTTACCTCCTCCCCGTGTATGTATAAATACCCCGACATATGATGACTAAAGTACTCAGTCTACAACAATATATATATATATATATAGGGATTGACTCCAGTCAAATGACAAGTTTCGGTTAGATGACACTTACAGTCAGATTCATTCTGGATCAATGTAGTGCTCATTCAAACCCAACGTAGGGTTCATTCTCACACAATTGTTCATCACAACGTACTGTTCATTTCAAAAAAACATAGTGTTCATTCCAAGTGAGCAATTGACAACATAGGGTTCATTTAGAATAACATGATGTTTATTCTCAAACAATGTAGGATTCATTCTCACACATTTGCTCATTATAGACTTAGGGGCTGTTTGGCAACTTCTGAATCGGTAAGTGCTGAACCAGTAAGAGGTCTGAACCTTAAGTGCTGAACCAGTAAGAGGTCTGAACCATTAAGTGCTGATTAGGTTTTTGTTTAAACCTCATTTCAATTCTCTCCCGTTTAGATTAGGTTTTTGTTTAAACCTCATCTTCTTCACTATGTTGTTTTACTTTGGGAGCTCCAACATTTAGATTTCAAGCTTTTAATCTTTGTTTATTTGCTTCATTGTATAGAATTTATTTTCTTCATCTTATGCATGCTTTTTATTTATATGAATCCCTCATATCTTTTACGCTCACTTAGATTTAGCATGCTAGGCTAGATATTCTAGCCTACGTAAGGTGATGGATTCTTGAGTAATGTTTGTTGTCAATGGATTGTGGTGAA